GCAGCAGCCCTACCCCTGCCTTTTAAAATGGCCTCACTTTTTTCTTCCCCATTTAAGTACAATGTGCAGCCCAATACAGTGGTGCCCTGCTTGACGATTACCCCGCTTGACGATGAATCCACTTTACAATGAGTTTTTTTGCGATCGCAAACAATGATTCCTATGGGGTTTTCCGCTTTACGACGATCGGTTCCCTGCTTGGGAACTGATTTTTCACTTAACAATGGTTTTAAAACAGCTGATCGGCGGGGCACAAAATGGCTCCCCACTGTGCAAAATGGCTCCTCGCTGTGTTTAGGACTAATTGCTCGCTTTACAGGCACCAGAAAATGGCCGCCTTATGGAGGATCTTCGCTGGACAATGAGGTATTTCCCCCATTAGAACACATTAACCAGTTTTTAATTCATTCTAATGGGTTTTTTACTTTCGCTTGACGACGATTTCGCTGTCCAGCAATTTTGCTGGAACACATCGTTGTCAAGCGGGGCACCACTGTACATGATTGTAAGCTACCTTGAGTCCTTCTTAAGGAGAAAGGTAGGGGAAGAAATATTTGAAATAAATAATTAAAAAAAAACATTCCAAAAGTCAGGGGTGACCATGGTCGATTTATGTGTGGATTTGCATTGCCCTGAAAATTAAGAGATTGGGACTTTACCATTGAAGCAGGAGACTGGTCAGCATTCCTTCCTTCCTTCCTTCCCTTTTTCCACCTATGAGACGCAGAGTATAGAGGGACACCAGCGGAGTAAGAACCACTCACATTGAAACTCTCTTCGCTTCAGTAAGTGCTTTGCTACAGGACAGGTTTAGCAAGAAAAAGGAAAGAGCTCCCCTCTAGAAAGAAGAAGGGGGGGAAAGAAGAGGAAGAATTGATGCAAAGGATGGACAGACAAGGGTGGGGGAGGGAGAGAGAAAAGCAATTGTCAAGAAAGCAAAGAAACAAGATTTTCTTAGCAGGCTTCAGAAACTTCTCACACCTCTCCACCCAAGAAAAACACCACCTGGATCATTTAAGAGTCATTGTCTGTGTTGCCTGTTGCACATTTAGCAGGCCAGAACTATAACACAAAGTATCCTGCAGTAAATGAAGCAAAATAAGCGGAATGCTTTATGTACAAAATCGGGCCATGACAATGGATAAAGCTATAAGACTGCAATGGAAGAAGCAACAGCGTACTTACATTCCATATGCATCCAGCTGGTAAGTTTGCTATTATCCATAATCTTTTTTTATCCTACAAAAGTATTTTGTACACAATCCAGCTAGAGTGTCTGAACCCAGAACAACAAAGCTGGGAGACTCTCTTCCAAAAAGAAAGCATTAGGGTGCCATTATTTGTACGAAGATATGCATTGGAACAATCCCAGAGAAAAAGCATCAAAAGCTTCTTTCTCAATCACAGAGGAATAGAATTAACTAGCCAGACTTCCCAACCCAAACTGTTAAAGGAAACACTAAGATATTTAAAGGATATAATTGGGATGTTTAATTCAATAGACTCTATTATTAAAGATTTGACTTATTGTTACAACAAAGAAGGAACCATCAGCAAAATCTGCTCAGACGTGATGCGTTCAATGACTTCTCATGATGGCCAGGATCAAGACAGTGTACAGAATGCAAATATCTATAACCCAATGGCCAAAATCCTATTGGATATTTATACACAAGCAAGATTCGCACCATAAGACGCACTTTTTTGCCACAAAACAGGGGGTGGAGAGTCTGTGCGTCTTATGGAGCGAAGAAAACAGATTATATTTTCCTGTTTTCTTCTCCTAAAAAATTGGTGCGTCTTATGGAAAGGTGCGTCTTATGGAGCAAAAAATACGGTAATTGCCAGAATTTCAGCAACTAACTGTGGCTAATTGACAAAGTGGCAGGTACAGCATGTGTCAGGTGCACTGTCGAGCACACATCCAACAGTGCCAGCCACTTCGTGCACACCATCAACGATTCTTTGGATGCCATGTAAATATCCGATAGAATTCCGGCCAATACTTTCCAAACTGTATGGCTCGGTACTGGCCTCGAAAAACTCAGTTATCAAATCAGATATATCCTCCAGTCAATGTCTGCAAAAACAGAAAACCATGTAGCAGTGAGTCTGCACACTGGACAATACATGGAACAATCACATCATCTAAAGGAAAGGCAGAAGTGTCCACGGTGGGTTCCCTTGCACAGCTGATGCTGGAGGCAAAAGGCTCACAACAACCCCAGAAACATCACCATTGCCAAGGGAACACATCTCATCTGGGAGTCCAGGCTAATTAACAAAAGAGAGCGTGAGACGCCAGGAAACAATAATAATTAGGGCTATTCTACACTTGCAGAGAGGATTTCTGCCAGGATGGATAAAAATCAATGATTTTTAAAAATCACATTGATTTAAATAATGATTTATATTAAAAATCATTTTAATCCAAAATCTGATTGTTTACATTTAATTTGTGATTTAAATCAACTTCATTTAAATCAAATCCAGCTTGATTCCTGCCCACTGTTTTGGGACCTGACTGAGAATTAGCACAATCCTTCTCAAAGTAAGAACAATGTGTGCTTTTTAATTTTGATTGTGGGGAGAGGGAGAGAAAATTATAATTTGCCTGTGCTCAGTAGCATAATTTCAGAAATTCTTCACTGAAATCCCATCCTAAGCAAAACTGCCTAATCAGCCAAGATATAACACATATGTATGGAACTCAAAACTAGTAGTTCCTCCCCTGAGAAGGCATGTTATGCTCAAGGCAGGTGGGTTATGCAGACAGATCTCGCCTACAAAATTAGCACATGAGAACGACATCCTCATCCAGGGCTTGCAGTACAGAGTAATCCTACTTCCTAGTACTTAGCACTTCCACTAGGGTAAGGTACATTGCCTTGAAAAGCTTCCAAAAAATAAAATGTAGACAGATAACTATGGTTCTTGATGCAATCATTTTTGCATAAACTAGGAAAAATGAAACTTTTCAAGAAGGAAAAGTTTACCCTCTACCACAGATGTTGGGAAAGCATGGCCCTCCAGATGTTGTTGGCCTGTGACTTCCATCAGCCCTCATGAGCAATGATGAGGAGTGCAGTCCAACAACATCTGGAGATAGACACATTCCCCACCCCGGCTGCACCAGAAAGATGGCCAAAATCAATTTTAAAGTTGAATGCACTGATTACAAATTGAAACAGAATGCTAGGCAGCAGCATTCAGTCAGTGCAAAACAACTAACTATAGTTCATTATAAGACAAGTAACAAGTGTCATAGGACTGAAGCTAGCAACTTTACCCATCCAGCACTAGTTCCTGCAGAGCTAGGACTCAGGAATCATGATAGGGCGGGCAGGTCCAGCTGAAACACTTGTGCAACCACCCCAAATTCTTTGGGACTAAGCTGGCTGGCGACCCCTGAGGACTGGTCTCCTGTCCCCAGTCTGATATAAAGGTCCAAGACGTTATATTTGATCATTTTTCAGTCTGAGCAACCTGTGGTTTTGAGAGACCATGAGCGCCTCCGTTTATGCCACCAGTTCACTGGCCATTAATCTGCCCTTCTACCCATCCACCTAGACCACCTGGCTGGACTTCCACCTAAACCCTTGGCAAGAGGTTGTTTTCCTAAAGAAATATAAATGATGCCAGAAAAATCAGAACTTGCAAAAGCTAGTTTTTGGACTACAGATCCCACAACCTTCAGTCAAAAATAAATAAATAAATAAAATAACTTTTCCAAATTCCAATTAAAAGAAAGGAGAGAAGGGAGGAAAATCATCTGATTAAAAAGCTACTGACTTAAAGATCTCTGGAGGTCTAGAAAAGAAAGGAGAGAAGGGAGGAAAATCATCTGATTAAAAAGCTACTGACTACTGATCTCTGGAGGTCTAGCAATTGGAAAAATAAAAATAAAGGTTCAAAGAAATGTGATCTGGGGATTGATGCTGTGACAAAGAGTATATGTAAAGGTATTACAGGAAGCATGGACACCTAGCTAGTCAATAGTGTTATTTGCCAGGACTTGACCACATTATAATCTCACTACAGGAATAAAACCTCCCCTAAATGGTTTACAGTCATTCAATTCTGCACTACCAAACAGGGTTTGATAGGATGACAGCCACACTCCACAAGAAACAATGTTGTCATTTTCCTTCCAAATGCATTTGTGCATATAGGAACACATAGGATAGAATCTTATCACCATTATATTCTGATATAAGTGAAATTGCATGAAAGGTGACGAGCTACAGCTAATTATAATTAGCTGCCAATTGTAATTTAATTTACTCCTAATGAGGTTTTGGCTACTGCCTTTCATCTTGTGACTTATACATACTGTACATTGATAACAAATATGGGTGTCCTATACATTTTTATAAATGTTAGAACAGAAATGTTATAAACGGAAGGAGTACCTCTGCTCATATAGTCTGCTTTGGGTGCCACTGTTATTGCAGGTTCAGAAAGCACTAACCAGATTGACCAGGGAGGGAACCTAACATTTAGAAGAAATCCTAAAATCCTCTCAAGTTAGGACAATGGCCACCTGGCCCAGCCAGCTCGTTTTTGACTTCTAGAATGCTATAAGTCAATGCTGGAATGGCATTTGGATTGCTCAGCAGAGAAGGAAGAAATATTTTACCTGATTGGGGACTTTTTAATGGATAGGCTGGTTGTTTGATACTGTGATTTTATACTGTCAAGTTTTTAAAAGATCACTAGCCTCTGTCATGAGACCTTAAGGTCACAAATGCAGGATATATGTTTCTGAAACTAACTTTAAATAAAATCAGGGGAATGTTATTTCTTTTGTGAAACTATATGCAGAGCAAAGATTTTTTGCAGTGATTTACAGAAGCCTTTTACTTCATCATTTTTTAGGAAACTACTTAGTCCAACTTAGTCGATGTCAGACATACTATATGTCTGAAAGAAAATAACAGTATGGGCATACAGTCCTTTTATACCTGCAACAGGCAATTTAGAACCGCAAGATCTCTTACCTGATTAATTACATATATACCATAATCAAGTTGTTGTCTTTGAAGGATTGGATGGAGATAATACAGCCAGTATTTCAAATGTTCATCTCGATTTCTGAATGGGATGATAATTGCTACTTTCTGAAGTGCTTTGCAGTCTTTTGGGGTGTAGTGACCCCCATCTCTGACTTCGGGGTTCTCCTCTTCCACAGTCTTCAAATTCACTGTGTGTGAAAACTCCACATGCAGTGGGCCAACTGAAAAGGGGAAAAACACACCACCAGTTAGTACATTAGTACAGACAACTGAATGAGATTGTTGGTTGTTCAGAGAAGCGTTAGGTTGCTGAAGAATTTTCTAACAACAGAGCCCACAATGTAATTCTGGTTATATTTATGAGGGCCATGTCATGGGTGGCTCTAATTTGATGATTTAGAGAAGGCTTCATGATCCCGTGATGTGTGGATACAGCAGATTTTACTGTAGACATTACCACATGACTGAAGCTAAGTTCTTTCTCCAGAACAAAGCCGCCTTCAAAAAAAGTTCTCCTCCTTTTTTAAGGAGGAGGAGTTTGAAGGACTGGTGGTAAGATAATAGTCTTATAATCCTCACTGGATCTCCCAATATACGTGTTTGAGCATGTCAGAGCATTGGGTAGGAGTTTAGGAGATAGACCTTTCCCTTAATTATGGTTCGGATCCCACAGATGCACCAGCCCTTCAAACTCAATAAGCCTAAATCTGTCTTCTACTTGCAGATTTTTATAAAAAGCTATAGATCATTTTAAAAGTAATCGTTGTGCCACAACATGTGATTCCTGCATGTGTAACACATACTCTGGACAAGAGGCCGCTTTTAGCAACCAATATGGAGAAGGGGAATAGATGTCTTTTGTATTTCTCTCTGATTAACCTGTACGCAGAATGTACCACAAAGAAAGCTGGATGAAATTCAAATGAAGGAGACGTGAATATTTGGCAGAAGAAACATCAATAAATCAAGGTGTGAAGATGATGTCATTTTACTGACAAGAAGGGGCAATGACTTGAAGTGACTACTGACAAAGATTAAAGTACAAAAGCAGGATTACAGCAGAAGACGGAGGCAAAAATAAGAAATAAGAGAAAGAATTAAGTAACTTCCATTTTGATGGTGAAGGAAATTAAAGTTGTGGAAGGTTTTTTTATACTTTGAGCGAACCATCAATCAAAATGGAGACTGCTGCAAAGAAATCAGAAGATGACTTGAAAGGGCAGCTACGAAGGTACTATAAAAAGACCAAGGACCACAAAAAGGTGTAACTTGAGACTGAGGCCAACCAAGAACATGCAATCTGGAGTGTTCGCAGTTACTATGCATGGATGCAAAGAGAGGTGGCAGGAAGAAAACTGGTTCATTTGCAGAGTGGTGTTGGATATTGCACCAGAAAATCAAGAGAGTTCTAGATCAAATCAAAGTTTTACTCCCATTAGAAACAAAGATTACTGAACTGAGGCTATCATACTGTGGATACATTGTGAGAAGACAACATTCAACAGAAAAGACAACACATCTGGAAACGTTGAAGGCAGTAGGAAAAGAAGGCTTAACACGAGGTGGAGTGAGTCAGTAGGAAAAAACAGGGTCTTTAGTTTGCGAGATATGAGCAGGGCTGTTAATGATAGGAATATTAAGTGGTCATTAATTCATAGGCACCATTAATCTGGAACTGGTGCAACAGCTCTTAACAGCAACATTTATCGTCTGTATAGCCACTCTTGGAGAATATGCTCCCTGCAATCAACAAGTCGGAGAAAGTTTCTATAAATCAGACACTGAGGTGATTTCCTCCCTCTCCACCTTAAAGAAGCTGATGTGCCATAAATGACTGACATAGCGAAGTATGGACTGAACAATATCTGTGACTATGTTCATAGTAGTCTTTATGCCCTGAGTTATATCTGGTTCAGTGCACTCTGTGTGTATGTGTGTACGTGCACATGTCTTATGTTTCATCATAGATGAAAAAGCAGAGGGATGCAAATGGATAAAGTCCAGCAGTAAATCAGAATTAGAATAGGTGTACTAAATTGAATTACTGGGAATCCAGTAAATCAATCCTTCTGTCAGTTCCACAGATTCATTCAAACTATTTTAGTTGTGACTTACTATTCCAATATATAAATAAAAATCAACTGGGCGTGAAAACTTTGTTTTGTCACACAAATCTCAGTACAGGAAGCAACATGCAGCCTATTAAGACACACACTGAAAATGTATTACAGTCATTCTTTAACCATCTTTATAACTGCCACTTCTAGTTATTCATCACAGTTTTCCCTTATCTTTCTTTCTTTTTAAGTGTAGGTACTAACCACATGCAAAACAAAACCTCTTTGGGGTTTAGTTTGGCCACTGAAACTCTGCTTCTCCTAAAACTTCTGTATTTCAGTTCTAAAGTAAAGGGAATCACCTAGCCTGCAGCTGGCAACACATGTGGCCAGTTTCAGCACTCTCCATCTCTCTCTCTATCTCAGTTCAGTCTGAGGCACCAGCAAGTCTGAGAACAGGCATATTTAACCTTCATAAGCAAAATTAGGCATGACATTTTCAATGTGGATGTTTAAAATATGAATCTTCCCTGTTGGGTAAAAATAGAGCAGAGGGGAAGAGACCTGGCTGTAGCAATTCATGTTTTGGTGACCTGGGCTGGACGTACTGCATTGCACTCTACATAGGGCGACCTCCGTATCAACTCATACCTCTGTCATATCTAGTTTAAACCTTAACAGAGCAGCTCACAGATTCGAATTGAGCTAAAGCAGGATTTCCCAAATTGTGTACTATAAGAAAGAAATTACCTAATTAAGAGGTCTCCAGGAACTCAAAGGATTCACATAAAGAGATGACTGCCCTCATCTTGGCATAATTATTTGCTTTGGAAATGCTATGTCTCATTCTAAAGAAAATTTGCAGGATACAGGGCGTGAAGTGCATTTCTGATTTAATCTGAAAATGATGTGCCTTTGCTATCAGAAATTTGGGAAACAACGGACAAAATTAAGGGCTCTTCTACACTGATTTACTGCTTTCCTTGCATGAGAAGTAATCATTAATGGAAAATATATGACGTATAAGCACTGCCAAATTATTAGAACAAACAGGGATTTTCAAAATAAGTCAATTTAATATTAACGCTGTTTAATCTTTAAAACACACATACGAAAAATACAATAGCCATAGCACTAAATCAGACTTCTTCAAACGTCTCAAAATAGGAACTTCAGATTCTTCAAAAAACAGAGGGCACATAGTTCCATTCTTAAATTAAAAGGGCATGTTTTTGATGTGGATTGAATCTGTTCATGCAGGGAGTTGTTTCACAAAAATGATTAAATATCTAACACCTTGCAAAGAGAAAATTTATTTAGATGTACTTATCTTGGAAGGACAAACCACTAACAAATTCACAGTCAGTTTACAAAATAAATGTTCCAAAACTGAGTTCGACAGATCAAAGGGAAATACATACATTTTGAATTCAGTAACACAGTTTAAGGTGAACACAGTCAGTTTGTTTTACTTTGTCTTATCATAGCAAATCTAAGGCATAACTATTCTTACTTACTTAAATACCTTTATTGGCATAATACACACATACAAACATACAAAAGTGCAAAATACAGCTTGTGGAAACGACTCCTAAAAGACTAAGGCTTCAAGTTGTATTCACGAGCTGTGTTAGTTTTGATTATGTCCAACAGAAATTTACCAAGGGCATTCAGAGAATTCTCATCTGTCCGCTGTAGAATAGAACTAAGATAGGCTTTATCGGTGAGCCAGGGCTTTCGTTGTGGTAGAGAGGCAAAAAATTTATCCCTCGTGGCCGAGTGGAATGGGCAATGGAAAAGGATGTGGGGTAACGTCTCTACAACATTCAGCACGCAAGGACAAAGTCTGTTGTTGAAAGGAATATTGTTAAATCGGCCCGTTAGCACCGCCGAAGGGATTGAATTACAGTGGGCCAAAGAAATCGCCCTTCTGATTTCGGGGTTGTACAGTATGGAGATGTAAATCAGTGGCCTACCTACTACCAAGGGGAGATTCCAGAACAGAGGTGAACAAGATCTGTTAGCGGCTCTTAATAAGTCTTGTGAGTTGATGTCAGCCAACCTTTGTTTGACAGTTCGTAGGGCAGACTGGAACGGAAGAAACCCAAGGGTGTCCGGGTCTAGCCCGATCTGTTTGATCTTTCTAAGCCAGCCATCTACTGGGGGGCAGCTATCTTTTTTTAGATGGTAAAGTAGGCTTGTTTGAGAGGTGTCAAAATACATTCTTAGCCAGTATTTGCAGGTTCTATACCAGGCAACATCCTTGAGTGGGAGTTGTCCCGTTTCGAGGCATAAAGCCTCGTAGGGGACGCAGTTTGGCATAGCCAAGATTCTTCTCAGAAAAGCTGAGGGGATTTTGGAAACTGTAGTCCAAAGAAATGAAATTTTCAGTTAAGCCATTCTCTCCTAGATTTCTCACACTACCTGCTTCAGAGGAAACTAAAATGCTGCTATTCCTTGCTTCCAGTCCATGGAGTGAATGTTGGCTTATATACCTTGGCACTGCCAGGTAAAGGACTGAAGATGCTAAGTTTGGAAAGGGGTTCTGCCCAACTATTTTTAATCAGAATCCCAAACCCTGTTGCACTGATTAATTGTTGTTTCTCTCAGGGGGAAGTACTGTTACATTATCCAAATACAATTTACATCCAGAGTAAGCAGCTCTAGAGAAACTGAACTCCCAAGGGCAGTGATGTAATGTCACATTCAATGGTAATGTCAGTTGTGTGCTTTTCTGTGATTTTTATGGCGCTCCTTGCAAAGTGAAAAGCTATAAATTGACCATGATAATGGGGTGGGTGGGGTGAGAGTAAGAAAGGATTTTATCTAAAAAACGACTGACAGGCTGAAGCATACAAGCATTACGGGTTAACAAAGCCAAATATAACAGGACAGAGGGAAAAAAATCTTTCTTGGATTTTCCTCCATTTCTGAAACCATTTTGGTCAGTGAATAGGCTAGCCTCTAAAAGTTGTGTCATCTCAAAGTTGTGATAAAGGAAGGATGATTAGTTGTTCTTAATGGAAGCCCGTGTGACAGAAGGGAGAAGAGATGCAACCAGTTTTTAAAGCTACAGAAGACACTTTATGGGTGGTCCCAATACACAAAGCAGCAGTGCTACAGGATTCGTATTTGAAGCTGGAGTTCCTCACAAGTGAGCGCCG